CTCCATCTTTAAAAAAAAAAAAAAAAAAGACATTTAACATCTAAAACTTTGGGTAAAATGAACACTCTAGGAATATGTGCCATGCCTACTTAGCCTGTGTTTAAGCAAAGGCTGGCACATTTGATACCATAGTTGAGAGCAGGAAGAAATTTTTAAAGATCATTTAGTTCAATTGGCTTTATTTAAATATGAAAAAAGCAAGGCTCAGAGATGAGAAGCTGACTTTAATTAAGATGACACCTCGGCCAGATGCCGTGGCTCACGCCTGTAATTCCAGCACTTTGGGAGGCCAAGGCGGGTGTATCACCTGAGGTCAGGAGTTCGAGATCTGACTGGCCAACATGGCAAAACCCGGTCTCTACTAAAAATACAAAAATTAGCTAGGTGTGGTGACGTGCGCCAGTAATCCCAGCTACGCAGGAGAGTGAGGCAGGAGAATCGCTTGAACCTGGGAGGCAGAGGTTACAGTGAGCAGAGATCGCGCCACCGCACTCCAGCCTGGGTAACAGAAGGAGACTCCGTTCCCCCGCCCCCGTACAAAAAAAAATGATGCCACTGCCACTATTACCTAAAATCTAGATCTGGATCAGTTGCGTTTTTCACAACACCAGAACCACGATTTAAGAAGGGGTAGAGAAATTAAGAAGAGGCAAAGAAATTACAAGCGCTGCCGAGACAGGGGACTTACGAGTGGAACATAGAGGCCAGCATGAGCTTCTCATTAGAAGTGAGGCGGGGCCGGCCAAATCGAATGGACACCGGGTAGTTAGCAGGGTTACCCAGATACTCCAGCACCTCTTTCCCGTCGGCCGTGTACTTGCCATTCACGTCCATGCCATTGATGGCCAGCACTGCATGGCCCACTGCAGAGGTGAGGCTAACGGTCAGGGAAGCTGCAGCCCCAGGATTCCGCCACAGGGAGAAGGGACCCGACACCACCCCCTTACTCCCAGCTCCGCACCTGCAACTAGCCCACTTCCGCAGCACTGGGGCCCGCCCCCCGCCCTCCGTCTCCGCAGGGCCAGAGGCTAGCCCACCTCGGATACCGTCCCGCTGGCCGAAAGCAACCAGCACACGCTCATCGTGTAGCTTGAGCAGCAGATCCAGGGGATAACTGAAAGTTTTCTCAGCCTCGGCCCGCGGCGCGTAGCTGTCCAGCTGGTAAATCAGGCCGCCAGCTTTGTTCACCACATACACACTAAAAATCGCC